GCTACACCAGTTGCAAGTGCTTCACTATACTAAATTATATAGAGTTTCAGACTAACAACCCCAGCCTGGCGGCCAGCGGAATTTTTTCCCCCACTTGAGTTCCGGACCCACCATAGATAGTGTTTTGTAATAAATGGTTGTTATATATATGGTTGGATTATAGTTAGTGTTAGGCTTCGGTTACGTGTTAGGGTTAGGGTTAGGGTTAGGGTTAGGGATAGGGTGTATTCATTTGCGCATGTTCCATTTGGGGTTATTTCATTTCCCCATTGTTGCTTCGAGGAAGTCGAGTGAATGGAGTGCGCTGATTGGCTGTGGTCGGGAACTCAAGTGGGGAAAAAAAATTTGCTGGCGGCCAGAGCGAATTACATGAATATACTCCACTATTAACTGTAGCAAGAGTAGATAATAACAAGAGTAGATAATAGATGTTATTATCTACTCTTGACTGTAGCTATAATGGCAGCAGCAGTAACAGCCGCAGCAGCAGTAGAAGCAGCAGCAGCAGCAGCAGCAGCAGCAGCAGCAGTAACAGTAACAGCAGCAGCAGCAGCAGCAGCAGCAGCAGCAGTAACAGTAACAGTAACAGTAACAGCAGCAGCAGCAGCAGCAGTAACAGTAACAGCAGCAGCATCAACAACAGCAGCGGCACTAATAGCAACAGCAGCGGCATCAGTCTTGTTTATCCCCCTGTCAGCTCCACTATTAACTGTAGCAATACCCGCAGTAGTGGTAATAGTGGTATCATCATCATCATCATCATAATCAGCAGCAGCAGCAGCAGCAGCAACAGCAGCAGCAGCAACAACAGCGGCAGCAATCAGCGGCAGCAGCAGCAATCATAAACATCATCATCATCATCAGCAGCAGCAGCAGCAGCAGCAGCAGCAGCAGCAACAGCAGCAGCAGCAGAAACAGCAACAACAACAACATCAGCAGCAGCAGCAGCAGCAGCGTCATCAGCAACAGCAGCGGCATCAGTCTTGTTTATCCCCGTGCCAGCTCGCTCTCGTGCGTCGCTGTGTGCGTAATGCGTATCTATATATCGGCCTTATTAAATTTTTTAGACCGTCCCCCTCTGGTAACATCAACATAAAAATGTAATTTCCTGCTCATCGCTCATTTAGCACGCGCCAGGCGCGCGCACACGCACCGTCACACAGCCAGCAGGCTTCGCTCACGCAAACATCACACACGTGCGAGAGCACTGTGCTGGCTCCAGGGGAAGCTGTGTGTGCGTGCGTGCGTGCGTGTGTGTGTGCGTGTGTGTGCGTGTGTGCGTGTTTACACTAGCGTGGAGTGCGACCGCGGGGTGATGATGTGAGGGTGAGGATGTTGCTGAGAGAGGAGAACCAGTAGCAGAGTTGAGGGAGGGGGAAGAAGGAAGGGAGAGAGGGAGAAAGAAGGGGGGAGAGAGCGAGGGAAGCGTGAGGGAGAGAGAGAGAGAACGAGAGAGAGAGAGAGAGAGAGAGAG